GAATCAATTAATGACTTAATTTTGGGCTTGGAATAGCATACAAATTATTCTCAGATGATTGCGTTAACAAGCAAAACCTAATCTATTCGAAAGGCCATAAAATTAGAAAACCCAGCGAGGATCAAACTCACTTTACACCAGTAATAAAATGCTTCTCGAGTTCAGTGTCCATAAAACCGCGGTAAAACTCTTCTTGGTATCTGTGTTTACTACGTCTGGCACAAGGTTACAATTGTGATTAGGTTTTATATCTCGTGTTTTCGAGATAACAGTGGGAAATAAATCTGGAAGACAAACTCGTAGCTCAGTTACTACACGAAGGTACAGTTAGCAATTGACCTAATGCTAACTCTACTTTACCCGAGCTCCCCATAGAACCGGATGTAGCACAAGTCCTGTTTTACGTGGGTCTTTTCGAGCCCTTAAGCTCGGGCAAAAATTCCCCGTATACACCGTAATAACAAGGTCGGGTGTATGCCTCTCCAGATGAGACTCTACCCTTCGACGTAGCCTCGTCTGAGTTCCCCTGTGGCCAGAGGCAGAGGTTCGACAAGCAGATACTCTCCTCAGATCCGCTTATTTATATAAACTGACGATTCCGTTCATTTAAGTCCTATGTGACAATAACCCAGTGAGATTTTAACATGTTAGACATTAGTGATCATTCCAGATATCAACATCGATCAAATATAGAATGTTAAACATCTTGTAAGTGTTATAATAGATGGCGCAAAATGTGCCACCAAAATCCGAAGACGCACTGAAATAGTTAAGTTTCCTTGCAATAGCTAAAATAGTAAGAAGCAGCAGTTTCTTTAGAAACAAAGAAAATAGCTTTGAACCGCGATGTGCAATCAATCGTCCAATGAAATGTGGACAATTTCTTCAAGGATGAAGTGACGACTTGAGATAACTGAAATATTCTTCTACAAAAGAATATGAAAAATACCATGAACCGGGCAAATGAGCAATGAGGAATCTTTTTTTTTTAATGGAAACAAAAACAACAGTTATGCTTAGAATCAAAAAGATTGTTGAAATTACTGGGATAAAGAATGAGAAAAGAGGGTTCGGAGAATTAGACACCCATTGCTGAAGGCAAAGGCAGGGGGAAACATTAAATAGCTTTTTAAGCGGATGGAATATGGAAGAAGTGTGAGGGAGACTAAGCCGACAAATATCGCTTAGAGCTGCAAATGATAGGAAGTTGTGGAGAGATACGAATAACCATGTCCTGAAAAGCCAAGTCACATAGAATAAAGGAAGATGTTTTGCTCAATAAACTTACCAATGAGTGCCCTATAGCAAGGTGACATATTGCATGGATTTTGGTATTTTCATAAGTTAATATCTTACAAGGTCTCAAGAAAACTTTGTGTTGACGTCAGACATAGGCTTTTTTATATTAATAAACATATAGTACGTGTCTCAAGAGTCTCTTAATGTAGGGATTTTCTGTTAAAATGATTATGAGGAAAGAGGGGGTGATATGAATGAAATTGGGGTTCAGAGAATTTGATGGTTATAAGGATAAGGAGGATGGATATGGATTGACTCTTTAGTTGAAGATGTCAAGATTGTTATTAACACTTTATTTAGTCCACGGGGTAGATTGTTACATGTGCCATAAACGCATGGCCTTGGTAAAAGTAATCTAAAATGTGCCTTGACACAAAGAATTGTGAGTTCAATACCTTGCCACAGCAGAGAGAACAAAACTTGAGGAGTTTAGTTACTAAAGGGAATTCACTGAAACTGAGAAACTCCAGAAGATACATGATAAGTAGAGTTAGAATTGCATTGAGAAAATAAAGTGTTCTTCTCGAAATTTCAATGAATATCACCTGAAGTAGGCCGGAGAGCGCAACGACCGAAACGTCGTGAATATCCCAATAAAGCTAAAGACAACAGCCCGAACTATATAAATACTGTAAATATCTACAATACCTCATCTCAGAAATGTAGACAGAAGTTGAAGAAAGTTCACCTATATATATATATATATATACCCTTGTGCAAATTAATTGAAACAAAACGAATAATTCCGTTATTATTTTTTTTCCCCATTTTTCCAATTAAATATGACCCAATGTACAAGATAGAACTTCGTGTGTCCATTGCCCGAAGTCCTTCCTTACACATTGACCACAGATTCTCGATTGGATTTAAATCATGAGAAGTTTACGGGTCAATCTATAGTACTTTGATTTGCTAACTGGTAAGGCTTGCCAGTGTGCTCGTGCAGCGTTACAATTTTCGTACAATTCCTTGGGGTAACGTCCCTCGCAAACAATAGCCGTAGGACAGCTAATCGACAGTCGAGACAATATTGTCTGGACGTGATAAAAATCTAATGCAATCACGGACGATGCAATATTTTTCAAGGCTAAACAAATTTCATCATGCACCCCGAAAATAGATTCTTATTACTGCACACTACTACAAATTACCTAATCAGATGAAAAAACAGAAATTGATTACACCCTGTCATTCCAGTTGGTCTAAAACTTACCGTATGGTGAAAGAAAGGAAACTAAAGCGGTTGTTTCAATTAAGATTCACAAAGGTGTAACAATTTATCCAATGCATTAATTGTAAACAGAAATAATTTCAATCTCAATCTCGATCCCCAAAATGGCGTACTTATTAAGAAAGTAAATGTATTACTAAGACTAAAATTTATCGAAAGTGCAGTAATTGAAATTTGCACGAACGTATGTTTAGGATTTTTTTCAAACATCGCCTTTTTTATAATATAAACTCTCCTTTCTCAAGCGAACATATTTATGTATGTCTGTAAACGTCTTTTTTTTTAAATTTAGAAAAAAATGTTTAACGTATGATAAGGTTATGAATGAATTAAAATAAAACCCTAAAAAATAAGTAAACATATAAAAATGGAATAAAAATACATAAGATTAATTACACTTTCGCATAATATGGCAAAAACTTACGTTATTTAGTGTCGTCTATTGATTACCTTTTCCTTAACGCCGTAAGATTTTCGATTATTTTAAAGTTTCCTATCATTCAAAATATAAACACATACGGTTATTTTCTTCATATTACTTTTGTGTATAAATACATTTTCCTAAATACAATGTCTACAATTGGCCTGATGAAGTTTCTCAAAGAACCAAACCGGTTGGCATAAAAGGTTTTCCTCTTCTCATTTCGTTTATTATATATATATATATATATATATATATATATATATATATATATATATATATATTAGGAAATATATGACAAAGTAGAAAAGTTTTCGTTTCAGGAGTTTCATCCTTTAGGGATGTATACGTTGAATGCAACTACACATGAACACGAAGGAAAGGGGAAAATGAGAATATTTTTAAATTTCTGTTTCGCTTATAAAATCTAACATATTTCATTTAATTGTGTTTAATCACTTTGTCATTGAATATCCCTAAAACTGTTATTGACATATAAAATGTTGTATACTGTTTTTTTTATATATATATATATATATATATATATATATATATATATATATATATATATATATGTATATATATATATATATATAGATAGATAGATAGATAGATAGATAGATAGATATAGGTTATAATTGCAACGAGAGAAAAAATGTATATTTTTTAAAAAAGAGAAAACAACGCAAACGTTTTCGGTTATAATGTGGATTTGTTTTAGTTAATATATTTTGCTACACGGATTTCCGTTCTCGTGACCTTCTTCAGGCATATTAAAAGGATTCAATCTTTAAAGGAATAACATTTCCTTATGCTCTTTTCATGTTCCATTGTTCATTTTCTGTATTTGTAGTGAGCCTTGATCTCATTTTTTCGACTGATGGCAAAAGTGAATTTCTACCAAAGTGGTAATAAAATCATTAGGTTTGGTCTTAGTGGTGGCGATGACAGATGTGTTGATGAAAATAATAATAATATATATATATATATATATATATATATATATATATATATATATATATATATATATATATATATATATATATATATATATATATATATATATATATATATATATGCAGTTCTATTGATTAAAATAATTATATAGATAGATAGATAGATAGATAGATAGATAGATAGATAGATAGATAGATAGATAGATAGATAGATGAGAAATATGGCCTAGTTAAGTAGTAATGACAAAAGTACACTTAGATATTACTGACGCAATAATGATTTTGATTCACACCGGGTAGCCTAAATTTATGCTTTACCACTATATTAATCCCAGACAATTATGTAGAAATCTGTGTGATTGAGTAAATGAGTGACTGAATGAGAGCAAGAAATGCTGGTCTTTGACAAGTTTGACAATGGTTGTAACAGCTTTTATCCGTTATTCTTGAATGGGTGGGAAGATATCTGCGTTAAAATTTCTGGGTTAATTCTTTTCCAATTTCCCCGATGGTGTTAATACTTAATTAGCACAAGAAACTTCCGTTAGAATAAGAACATGGTTTTCTGATTTCATGCTGATAACAATTACCGCACCACACCCTCGAAACACGCCCATGCACGTGAGTGGGGTTAAGAAATGGGACGAGAGAAATGAATGCAAAAAATACATTTCAGAAAATGGCAATGCAAAGAATTTTTAATATGGAATGTATGGAAATCGAAGAAAAAGAATATACACATTCTAGCCATTATATCGTGGTGGAAATAAGTGTAAGACACCCCATGAAATTGTTAATATTTTTCTTATTCCTGCACAAATTCCTCTGAGAATTGTGTGTGGTACTTAGATCCAATGGGGTGTTAGTATATATATTCGATTTTATAACAACTTTCCACCAAAAAAATGTTATTAACAAAACATCGATGGTGGAAATAATTATATGAGAGTTTTGAAAATTTGCATGTCTGGTTTACTTCAGATTGCCAAAGGAAGAATAAGCGCATGCGCAGATTATAAAAAGACTCTTCTCGTGAATTTAAGCCACGTGAGTCCTATTTAAACATTTCATAATTGAATACAGTTACTGCAAAATGCCTCGGAACTCCCCTCTTAATGAAAATGAAAAAGAATACATTTCTGCCTATAAACTGGAAGGAAAATCTATAAGAGAACTGTCGAGGTCCCAAACAGTTGTGAGAAATTATCTAAAGGACCCTGAATCGTATGGCATCAGAAAACGTCCAGGTCGTCTACCGAAAATTACAAATGCAGTCAGACGTCGACTTTTTCGAGAAGCTTCTAAAAGACAATCAAGCTCAAGAGATCTACAAAACTCTCAGAATTTACACATCACTCCAAGAAGAGTTCGTCAACTCCTCCATGAATTGCCAATTCCCGTGTAGCGAAACAGGAAGACAGCCCCTGCTTTAACTTCTAACCACAAGAAGATGCGCATAGATTGGGTATAGAAAAAAGTAACATGGACAAAGGAAAAATGGAAAATCGTGGTGTTTTCTGATGTGAAAGAGTTTAATTTGGTTGGGCCCAACGGCTACCAGTGTTATTGACTTGATTTAAGAAAGGAGCTGTTTTCAAAAAGACCATTTGGAAGATGATCTCTTATGGTTTGCGTCTGGAAAGGCTGATTTAGTAGTGATGGAAGGGAAACAAAACTCTGATCAATATATCAATGCGTTGAAAAAAAGTCTTGTCCCATTTATGAATCATCTAGACACCAATAATGCCATTTTTCAACAGGACGACGCAGCCATACACACTTTTAAACTCACGAAAGACTGGTCTAAAACAAAAAAAAATATTGAATTTTTGGATTGGCCCACTAAGTCTCCAGGTTTAAACCCAACAGAAGATTTATGGGGAATTTTGTCAAGAAGAGTATACAAAAATAAACGTCAATTTGAAGATAGAGAAACTTTAAAATCTTGCATTAAACCGTAATGGAATGAAATTCCATCTGAAACTCTCAGAAATCTTATTAATTCAATGCAAAACAGGTGTGTTGAAGTATTAAAATTGAAAGAGAATAAACGCAAATATTGACTTTTGTACTATTTTGCTGTTAAATACAAATTTTCAAAACTGTCTTATACTTATTTCCACCCTTGAAAACCTATTTTTCTTAAGAATTATCTTAATAAATTTTTTGGGTGGAAAGTTGTTATAAAATCGAATATATATACTAATACCCATCGGATCTAGGTACCACACACAAATTTTCAGGGGAATTTGTGCAGTAATAAGAAAATTATTAACAATTTAATGGGGTGTCTTATTCTTATTTCCACCAGTGTGTGTGTGTATATATATATATATATTAAAGACATTTTTATGTTTAACGTTCTTTTGTTATAGATACAAGTATTTAAGTAAATGCTCTCTTTATAATAAACAGTATTAAATAACATTTACCGGCCCGAATGTCCGAGAAATTTTCATAGAAAATATTCGTCCTTTGACAGGATTCGAACCTGCATCCTATACGGAACCGTCATTTACGCTGACGTACCTTAACCGACTAGGCCATGTAAACAAATGTCGTCATATATTAAGAAATGGACGAAGTCCGATAATTTATTTATTAAAGACATTTTTATGTTTAACGTTCTTTTTTAAATGTCTTTAATAAATAAATTGTCGGACTTTGTCCATTTCTTAATATTAATATATATATAAATATATATATATATATATATGATACTCATATTTGAGAGATGCTCTTTATTTATTTATTTCCATATAGCAGCTTGCATATTCGAAAAATATTATTAGAAAAATATGCGCTCTCCGGCAGGATTCGAACCTGAGTCCCCTCGAGGAAACTGTCATTATTTACGTTAGGATACCGAAAAAGAGCAGATACGTAAAACAAGATTTTTCGAATACCAAGGCAGCTAGATAAATATACTGTTTAATAAATAAAACAATGCATCTACTTAAATATATGTAACCACTAAAAATAACGTTTAAACAAATAAAATATGTCGGATTAATAAATGAAACATCCATAAATGTGCATATATATATATATAAATAATAACTCATCGAGCTCAGAAAAATCTTCAACAGAATGCAGAAAGCGCTGGATGGCCGTTTCGACCTATTTGTGACTCAACAGTGCGCATACTCTACCGAGAATCAAACCCGAACAGTTTCGATACAACACAAACGTCATACCAACTGTACCGCGGTCATTGGTGACAAAGAAGACACGAACTAGACTCGATATAGCGCCCCGTTACTCACTCAGTTCCGCAGCGATACTCATCCAAGTATACGGATAACCTCAGAACAGTGCCCCCAAGAACCACGTCTGCTTATTGACCCTTAGCCGCTCCTCACGAGCATTAGCTGGGTCAAGAAAGGATATACAAGTGCAGACGTGAATATAACAAACCCAGCGGGAATTGGAACTCAAATCTCCGATTACCAATTCTGAGCCATGATCCATTATACCATTCGCATATTCAAGCTTACATAAGCGGTCCCCTATCTAGGTACTGACTATGCTCAACGTTGCTTAACTTCGGTGATCGTACGGGAACCGGTGTTTCAAAATGATGTGGCCGTAAGTCTAAAAAAAATATTGTTAATCTCCCTTTTTATCACCCGCTCTAACTTTCATCATCTGCTCACCCTTTTCCTCCCCCATCCTCCCTTTATATCTCACACTTCCTTTTCATCTCCCAACCGCCTTTTCTATCTCACACTCCCTTTTCATCTCCGCTCTCCCTTTTCGAATCACACTCTCCCTTTTCATCTTCTGCTTCATTTTTCCCTTTTCGTCTCCCGCTTTTCATCTTCTCCTCTTCCTTTTCATCTATCCTCTCATTTTCATCTCGTGCTCTCCCTTTTCATCACTCTCCCTTTTCATCACTCTCCCTTTTCATCACTCTCCCTTTTCGCCTTCAATTCTCTGTTTTCATCTTTTTCATTTCCGTTCTTCCATTTCACCACCAACACACACACACACACACACACACACACACATTACCAGGAAAAAATAACCTCTTGGAAAACAACTAAGGTATTAGACGAAAGCACTCCACGATAATGAACACAATGGACAATTTCCACACATTCTTAGTCCTCAAAATAGATGCTTTGGTTCCATTGTTTTTGTTTAGCGGCATATCCACACCTCGTTGAAATCTTAATATTTTGTACGCAATTTTATGGCTTCAAATACAGATATTTTGCACATAATTTCATGGTAAACGTATCTTTTATAGATATATAGTTTACCTGAACAAATAAATATTGTTTTAAATGAGTATTAGTTGGAGAAGTAGATTTGGGTAAATTCTTATTTTTAATTTTACACCACTCATCAGATCATTTTTCCTGACAGTTTAATCAGATACTCATAAGGAATTTTATTTTATTTTCTTCTTTTCCTATTCTTTTCTTTTTACGTCATTTTATCGTTCAGGTGTTCCTTTGATCTCAAACTCTCCTTTCTGATCACCCACCTTTTCTTTTTTCATCACCCTCTCTTCCTTTTCATCTCCCACTCACCCTTTTCATCTGCCCTTTATCTGCCTTTTCATCACCCGCTCTACCTTTCATCATCTGCTCACCCTTTTCATCTTCCACTCACCGTTTCTATCTCACACTTTTCATCTCCACTCTCCCTTTTCGAATCACACTCTCCCTTTTCATCTTCTGCTTTATTTTTTTTATCTCCCACTCAACCTTTTCATCTCCCACTCTACCTTTTCATCTTCTCTTCTTCCTTTTCATCTCTCCTCTCATTGTTATCTCATGATCTCCCTTTTTATTTTCGCCTCCAATTCTCTCTTTTCATATGCCGCTCGTTTTTTTCCTTTTCCGCGCTTCGATGTCATCCTCCCCACATTGATTTCATCTCTTATACACGCTTTTCATCTCCTACTCTTTTCATCGTTTTGCGTCTCTCTCTCTCTCTCTCTCTCTCTCTCTCTCTCTCTTTCGTCTTCCGCTATCCATCTTACTCTGTCCCTCTTCATTTCTCTCTACCTTTCCGTTTCTTTTTCCTTATTCTTAAATTCTTCTTTTTTTTTTCGCTACCCTCACCTACCTCTATCTTTTCTACTTCTGACAGCTCATTCGTTCTGGGTATGACGATAAACTACATCCGCATCCTGGGTAAGACGATAAACTACGTCCAACAGCAAAGCCTCTGATTAGGAGGTTTTGAGGAGCGTGGAACCACCTCTTAATTGCTTGTGTTCCCAGGTCCACTCTGGCCCGGAGTTGTAGCACCTGTTAGTGTCCCAGCAAATAGTTAACCCCCCAACTAGGATCAAGACTTGTAAAAGTAGGTTTTAATACCAGCAAAACATTTTTGTAAAAATTATTACCAGCAATAGATTTTTGAAGAAAAATATTACCAGCAATACATTTTTGGAAAAGTTTTTTCTTTTTTTGTCGGCATTAAATAACCTATTGAGGTTGATATGCACTAAAAAAAAAACCAAGACAAACCAATGGCAGCGCTTTCTCTCTTCTTTCTCTTCTGTTTCCCTTATTTAATGCACTTACTTCTCTCTTCTCTGTCATCTATTCTCCCTTCCTTTATGACAGCTTCTGTTCTTTTTCTATTTCCAGCTTTTCCTCCATCTTTTTATCTTTTTTCAATGTTCAGTCTCTTCTTTAGCCTTCCTTATCTTTTCATTTTCAATCTTCTTCTTTTATTATTATTATTATTATTATTCATTTGCTTCTTTTTTCTCTTTTTTCTTTTCTTATTTCTTTTTTCTATCATTTTTCCTCTTTTTCTTTCTACATTTCCTATTCATCTCCCAGTCGCCTTTTCAGTTTTTCTTCTCCCCATTCTCATTTATCGCTCTTTATTTTCATCTACTCTTTCGTTTCTTTCTTTTTTTTTTCTACTTATTCTTGTCCCTTTTACTTTCTTCTCTTTATTTAGTTTTTCTTTCTTTTTTTTTCAGTCTTTTCTCTACAATCGTTCATCTCTTTCTTTTCTCCTCCTGGACATTCTTTTAGCCCCCCTTCATTTTCATTTGTCCATATTTATTGTTGTTTTTTTTCTTCTTCTCCATTCTCCCATTAGGTCTTCTTTCATCGCTTATGACGTCTTACTTTTTTAAAAACTTTTCCAGCATTTCTTTCATCTTTTGGCATTTAAAATTTCTTCTTTTATTTCAGTTCTTCGACTTTAGATTCTTTTTTTTCTTTTGGTCTATTTTTCTTTTCCCCTTCTCCTACGCCCCTCTAATATCTCTATTCAATCTCTTCTTTTCCATTTTTTTCTTAAATTCCATTTTCTTCTTCTTCTTCTTCTTCTTCTTCTTATTATTATTATTATTATTATTGAAAGATATTCCTTTAAAATTCTTTTCTATTTTTTTTTCTTGGTACATTACTTGCCGAGTGACAAGCAGGCACCTCAGGCAAGAAATGAGAAACGGTGTCGTTCGTCAGGGAAACGAGTGACACTGGAATGTCATGGATGTGCACCGTTTGGTATGTACATCACAAAAAAAAATGTACTTAACTTTAAATATAAAATTAAAACCGGTTACAAATCTATTTAGTGTAGCTTCTTTAAAATATTGATGGATAAATAAAACTTGTAAGAAAATGTAGATACCGTTAGACATGTATGATCTGAGGAATATTCATTTTTTTTTCAGGAAAATTTTATATTTGTATAGAAGTGCATATTGAACTTAAATATCACTATTTAATTTGAAACGTTTTCAGACGAACGGTATTACTTAATTGCGCCATTTCTAACCTTCACGGCTAACATCCGCCATGCCACGCACATTGTAGCGAAAACTCATTTCGTATTCCACTGGTGGGACGTCGGTCTCATTCGAACTGCATCTTCCCACGAACCGCTACTTTATGGAACTGACTCTTAAGAGGATGCTTCCCCTATCACTATAATCTTAACCTGTTCATGTCACCGTTATCTCCATCACATATCCACATAAATTGTACTTGTTACGCTGTGAACCTCTACGTCAAGTAACTTTTAATTCTTTTCCATATCACGCTGAAACACCATTTCCCGTACGATCAACGAACGGGTAATAGTCAGTAATAGTTAGAATATGTGATCGTTTAGGAATTTCAGGCGCTGTAAGATTAGATGTGCAGGTGGTGTAAGGGGCTCGGTATTTTTAATCAGAGATCCTGGTTCCAATTCTCATTGGGTTAGCTATATTCAAAGACGCGCAAAGGACAGGTATCAATCAACCTGTTTACTCCCCAACTATGGGTTTATTAGTAAGATATTTTCTGGTGTTAAATAACCTTCAAAGTGTTGATAAGCCGTAAAAAAACGAATCAATCATGTTGCCCATGTACACAGTGAATATTATTGTAAAATAAAATGGAAAAATAAAATAGAATAATTATTTCCAATTAAATGATATATAGAGTACGATAGATAAATTGTCGTCTAAATTACGCAAAAATGAAAATAACACTGACATCTCATTTTAACAGATATATTTACCAAAATTACACAAAAATATCTTGAAATACTAAAGAGTAAATTTATTCAATAAATAATCCATTGGCTTTAATCACAGCCTCAACTTCGTAATCTCCTGCAACTCTTCTGAACGGTATCCTTGTTTAAGTTGTTAAATGCTACCATAATCCTTGCCTTCAGTACATCTTTGGAATTACAGGGAATTTTGTTGGTCTCTCGTTCAACTGTTCCCCACACAATAATCAAGGGGATGGAGTCTGGGGAGTTAGGTGGCTAGATGTAAGATGTGGTCGCAGAAATTGTCTGTCTGTCGTGACAGAGTGCTCCAGCTTGTGTGGCATGGCACAGATTCCTCTTGTCAAACGTAGGTCTTCAAGTAGTCACCCTCTTGACCCTGAGCAGCACTTCCTCCTGAAGGCACTTGATATTGGTCCCCGTGTTGAGTTATTTTCTTATCAGAACGACCAGAGCGAGTTTTCCGAGCTGCCCTACCTTTGTAATCATGATTAGGCTTATCCAACTCTTTCCAAATCCTCTTTGCTGTTCCACAGATTGACACCCAAACACTCTGAAATGTTCGCATTGGAGATTACGATGCAAATACCAAGCAGTACAGCATGCTGTTTCTAAATTTCTGGCGGAGTGAATTGCATCATGGTGATCTTTTTCTCACAGTCAGTGTACAAGTAACCCTACTATACTATGCAGTCGACAAAATAAACTAAAAACAAACAACGCGCATGCGCTAAATTAAAAATATAAAATGGCGACAAATTACCCATCGCACCCTGTATACAAAACGATGGCTATCTGAAAAGAAATACGTAAAAGAAAAATAAACACAAAATATTAGCCATACCTTGCCAGCGTCTATACTAAAAGGGATATCATCATTATTATTATTATTATTATTATTATTATTATTATTATTCGTTTCCTTCTTCCTCTTCATTTTCTCTTCCGCTTTTCAGATTTCGCTATTATTTTCTCTTTTCCTTTCTATTCTTCCTCTGTTTATTGTCTTCTTCTATTTTGCCTCCCCCTCCTCAGACCCCCCCCACACACACACACAAAATCTTTCTCGTATTGCAAGCAAGAAACCTTGCAAACATCTCAAACTCTCGTCGCTCTCACGTGATGCTCACACAAAACTGAATATAGAAATAAACGCTTAAAAAACAAAAACAAAAAAAAAAACCCATAAAACTCGCTCGGAGGATGTGATTATAAATACGACACCAGGAAACCCCACAATGAAAGCTACAAGCAATAAATCGACGACATCCCCATACTGAAGAAGGATCGGATTGGAACTGACTGAGACGATTGCAAGCGATTATTCGGCAGGGAAACATGCTGAATATCAAATCACATCCCGATCAAATGATATGAATGTCCTAAAATATGAATTATTCGATGTCCTCTTTCCCTACATATACATACAATGCGTAAACCTCACGTTATTAAGCGCTTGAGAGACATTCCGGTGAAATACTTTATGTAATATAACAGATATCTTGTTAAGACTTAGTTTTTTTTATATATATAAAAAGAGTAGGGAAGCATTTACACTACACTCAAACCATTGTCGTATTTTTGCTGTTGTCACCGCAACGTTTCAGCCGTTCTTTTCTCCGAACTTTATCAGGTGTTTATCGATCTAGGTAGCTTTCTAAGAACATCGAATTGAATACTTTATTTAATCTAAATGGTTCGGGATATCTCATTTGAAAGTTTTTGTGTGAAGACCGCTAGTCTTAAGAAAAACAGTTGTAGTTGTAATCGACGCGCTAAACCGAATGAAATGCAGCCAGCCGGACACGAAACTGAAATGTAACATGATGATGAGCGTGCTAATCTTGGAATTTTCCGTTATTTAATAGTTATAAATGAAATTAATCAAACAGTTTAGTATAAATCCTATGGAACTCTCCCGTCATTGTATTTATTATTATTATTATTTTATTGCCTTTGATTTCTGGTGTGTACACATTTCTTTCCGGGTTCCGCCCAGAGACCTAAGGTTAGAAATGGCATCATGACATTTTCCACAGACCAAAAAAAAAAGTTACATAAATAAAGCCCTTCGTAAGGTATGAGCTGTACTCGTGAGAACAACTTTTTGTATTTCTTTAAGGCATGGACTTCCAGGAATCCCTTCAATTAGTCTACTGTAATCTTTTCCAACCAATGCGAGGGCTCCAACTATAACAGGGATTGTGGATGTTCCCATGTGCCATATTTTTGAGATTTCGATTTCAATTTTCTTGTAATTTAATAGCTTTTTGAAGATCATCAAAGATACATTACAGTCTGCAGGTATTGCCATATCAATAAGGAGGCACTTTTTTTTTTTTTGCGGTCTCTAATAACGATGTCTAGGCGAATAGCTTTAATTGCTCTGTTTGTGTATATTGGGAAATCCTATAAAATTTTAACAGGTCCTATCTCCGTAACAGGGTCTGGGTGGTGTTCATACCAATTTCTTTCATTTTCCTTTCCGTAGAAGTTTGCTGATTTACTAGTTCAGATATTAGTCCACTCTATTTTATATTCAGTAGGTGTCAATACCGTTCCTCCTGATACAAGATGGACAATTCTTTCTGGATATTTATCACAGAATCTGCATTTTGGGCTAACACAATTTTTTCAGTATGTGTGCTTGATAATTTATAGTTAACAAACATTAGTCCTGTACAGCAAGAATAAAACCTCCAGTTTCAGCTTTCAGCCCTGCACTACGTAACCACTGATGGGTACGGGTTTTGTCTACACCAGCTTGTTTGGTACGGGCAGAGTATTGGCCATGAAGCGGTTTATCTTGCCATCTTTTCTCTATCTAGTCTGTTTCCATTTGCTTTTGCTTTCTTTTTTAAGTATTTTGCAGCTTCAGTGGGTGTATTGTGCTTTAATTGTATTTCCTCGCCCATTTGAAACTCCATTTTGAACTTGTTGGCCTCCTTTTTCTGCTGAATAAAGTCACTTACTGCTTTCATGTTATTTGACACATATCATCATCCAGTCTTCTGTAGTTTCCATGTATCTTTGAAGGCTAATTGTTATAGTTTTGTAAAACAATTCTAGTTGAACTAATCCTCTGCTTCCTTCAGATCTGGGCACATACAGTCGATCAAGATCATCTTTTGGGTGATACATGCGGTGACAGGTGAGAAGCGTTCTTGTCTTTGCGCCCATTCGTTTAATGTCAGCTATGGTCCAATTAAGGATGTTGAAACTGTATTGCATCACAGGGACAGCCAATGTATTTATAGCTGATATTCTTGTTGTTTTGTTTTTTTTGGTTTGTTTTTTTTTTTGTTTTTTTCATTCAGCTCTGTATTTAGTACCAGACGCACATGCGTGTAGTATTCATTTCTTAGCTTGTATTTTATTTGGGTATACTGTATTCCATCCTATCCTCTAACTCTTAGGTACTTATAGACTTCATCTTGTTCTAGTTCCCTAATCTTTGTAACAAAATCTAAATCTATTGAGTGTGTTTCTGTATTTCTCCTTTTCTTGAATGTTACTTTTATACATTTATCTAATCCATACCTATTTTACATAGATAAAGCTCTTCGTAAGGCGTGGACTGTTCTTGTGAGAAATTATTATTATTATTATTATTATTAGAAGAAGAAGAAGAAAATGGTTACGCATTAAATTTTAAAGTTGTAAAGGGCGTGGCACTGGATCAATCCCATTATCTGAACAGTGACAGCATGTACCCGAAAAAGAAAAACCATTCGACATAATTGGATGATGTTACATCAGCGTTTCTCTTCTCCTAGCTGGATACCTTAACAATGACTATAGGGTCCAATACTTCCAGTGGGCTTATCGTGCGCATTGACACCAACTCAGGTATTTTTCTATCCCCTATGCGAGTTCCTAAGGCCGTTGTTCCTATGAAGGCTTCATCCGCCATTTTTTATTATAATCTTGCTGGGTGCGTATCCACTCTCTTCACCGGAAATGCATATTGAGGGAGCCAGTTTAGTCGCCGATCACCCGACCATACAGCTGGTAGCGCTGGATTACCTAATAAATATGCAGTCTTTTTTTACAAAAACACGTACATAACTTCAGTTGATTTGATAAAAGTATTACTCGCCCCAAGAAGAAAACATTCTCATTTAAAATTCAGGATTAATTCAGTTTTTTTTTTTTTTTATAGTTATCGAAAATGCGATTGTTGAATCGGAAAAGATATCGACATCTAGTCTTCCATTCGCCATTGTTCACACGTGGACTAATTTCTGTAAAATTATCTTCATATATTGGTTCCACTGCAACATGCCCCTAAAGAAGTTTGATCTTCCAAGAATATCGTGCAGTGTGTGAACTTATAACACAAATCCTCTTCTAATTTTGGTCGACAACAGAACTTTACAATTCAACTGTAAATTTTCGTAAACGTGTTACGTTTACATATATAACGATGTAATATGGGAATTTCCATGGATAGTTTATAGTCGTGGAACTAACAAGGAGATTATTCAGTCAAAAAATAAGGAATCGTCAGAAAATTCAAATAGGAAAACTGTGTAATAATCATGGGTACTTCTAGTAAAAAAATGTTTGGCAAGTACCTTTCAAATTTCCACCTGGCATTAATAGATGGAGAAAATCATGAAGGCTTAACGTTCTTTCTATTCTATTTTGAATTATTTCTCTTTATGCAAGGTAATAAAGCCACTAAGACTCAAGGGGTTATTGAGAGCAAAAGAATAAGCAGAAAAGAGAAATATTAGTAATGAGCAAAAAATAGAAAAGTAATCAGAAAGACAATACAGAACGATTGACATTGCATTTAAATTGAAGGCCGTTCCTATGAATTGTTCCTATCAAGAAATCATCCGTCCTTTTTGTTTATAACCCTGGTGGATGTCTATCCATCCCAGCGCCGGTTCCTAAGAAGGCCATTCCTATGACTTGTTCCTATGAAAGATTCATACTCCCATTTTGTTTATAATTCTGCTAAATGTCTATCCATCCCCGCGACGTTAAATTTTTGAAGAACAAATTTGGCTTGAAAGCATGGAGCCGGAAGCGAGTTCCACAAGCGAGAAGTTCGAGAAAAGAAACTGTTAGAATAGAACTTACGGATACACCTAGCTAGATCAATTGTGAAATGATAAGACCTTTCTGCCAATCTAGTACTGCGCTTAAATTCATGAAACCCACGTACCATAGCGAAGAATCCATCCGAACAGTTATCATTTATAGAAAAGTCACAGTGAAGCTACATTACGGCAGTGGGAAAGTGACCAAAGCCGAGATGCCAGGTCAGGAGCAATAATATTGCTGATTCTTCTTTGTATCCTATCAAGAATCTCTAAATTTACTACAGCAGTACCGGACCAGGTGCGGCAGCAATTGAGCGAACGGTAGATTTATAAATGTGATAGATTTATTCGGAAGAGAACATTATCTAGCATTAGACAGTGAACCAACATTCTTAGCAGCAGACCTAGCAATGATTTCAATATAATCTTTCCACTTCATGTTAGCCAAGAATGTTGGCCCGAGAAGGCGTAACGAATCTCTCTCATGGGGGTTAGTATCGGCCATCATGGTGAGAGGCAGTAGTGGATATTTCTGGTGAATGATTTAATAAAACCTGTCTAAACTAAGGACTGTTGCATAAATTTAAAAAAGTATAATATATGTGGACATTTAGGAAGCGAACAAAGTGTTCGTAAATCGAGATAGGAAGCAGTTCATAATCGTAAAATCTTTCATAATTCTGGGTGATATTGCGAGGTTTATTTCATTAAATAAAGAAATCTTATCAGAAGACCTAGCAATGGATTCAACATAATCTTTCCACTTGCATGGAGTATTGCTGCCATATAAGGTCTGGAGCCCCTTCTGTTTGCTCGGGGTTCTTGATAAGCTCCACAGGCGGAAAAGCAATATAATTGGCCCTATTCTGGCATCTCGTCTATAGTCGCTCTCTCACAGACGTGTCGTCGCCTCTCTCTATCTTTTTTACAAATACTTTCATGGTAATTGCTCCGAAGAGCTGCATTCGCTGGTTCCCAGATTTCATGAATTCACGCGCCCTACGAGGCTGGCATTCCACTCTCATCCTTTCACTGTTGAAACTGTTAAATGTAGCCATCTGTTCTACAC